AAATAAATAGGATGCGATGGGTATATTATTAATAGGAGTAAAAATAGTTTTTAATAGAAAAGAGAAGAAGATTGTGGGACAAGAAAAAAAGAGGGAGTACTCGGTATTTAATATGGAGTGTTTGACTTCACAAATTTTAAAATATGTTGTAAAAAATGCTTTTTTTGGGACATAATTAAAAAGAATATAGCGTGTTGCCTTATTCCTAATGAGTAGTTTTCAACTTATAAGCTGCTTATAATTAAATCAAATATTCTTTCATGGTAGTAAATGACTGAAATAATAGATAAGTTACCTGGAAATATTCGTAAATGGTTATGGACAATTTTGTAAATAATCTGATCAAAACGGAGAATTAAAAAAAACTGACTTAAAAATTAGTAGCTAACCTTAATTATTTTTTATTTATAAGGAGCTTATAAGTGAGGTTATAAGCACACAGAAACATGTAGGCCCCGTTTGGCATCAGCGTTAGAGATTAGCGTTAGTATTTTGAAAAAGCTATCCGGCGGTAGCTTTTAGCGTTAGCGTTTTCTGAATTAATCTACACCGTTAATATTTTATCCAAAACGCTAACGCTAATTGAAAACGCTCTTCCCAAATTAAACAAAGCTGTAATCAGCTAACTTATGAGCTAAAACCTGCTTATAAATAGTTTTGATCAACTTATAATAAATACAGATAAACACCCACTAAATATGGACGGACGGTGTTTCCAATAAAGGTGGACGGAAGGATTTCTCCCTATATATATATACACACACACACACACATATATATGCACACAAACGTGCATATATCTACTTCATTCATAATTATAATCCTGCATTAGCACTAATTATTCAGCCTTAATAATCTAAGCATGGAAGCACAAGTGGTGTACACGGCTTGTGCTTTCATATTTGCCATATTGTTCGTAGCCGCTCAAAAACTTCTTCCCAAAAAAACACACAAAAATCTGCCACCAACCCCGCCCGGCCGCCTCCCCATAATAGGCCATGCCCATCTCTTGAAAACCCTCCTCCACAGGACCTTGTATGACTACTCCAAGAAGCTTGGGCCTATATTCTCCCTCCGCTTCGGTCCCCGCCTCGTGGTTGTGGTGTCGTCCTCCGCGCTCGTGGAGGAGTGTTTCTCCAAGAACGACATTTTGCTCGCGAACCGCCCTCCAACGTCTGTGGATCGCACATCGCTCGGGTTTAGCCCCACGAGTGTGATCGGGGCCCCCTACGGGGACCACTGGCGCAACTTGCGCAAGTTGTGTGATCTTGAAATCTTTTCCCCTACTCGTCTCGCGTCGTTTCTCTCGATTAGACGAGACGAGAGGAATCGCATGATATCTAGTCTCTACAAGATCTCATCGAGCGGCAAATTTGCCAAGGTACGAACATTACTAGGTACTATACATATGTATTTCTTTTCTAGACCTGCAGTCAAGGGTTTGTTTTTACTTAATTACTTAAGTCTTGCATGTAAATATTTTTTTTTTGAAAAACAGATAAAATTTAAACTCGTGACTTTGAGATCTCAATAACGCTTTGATACCATATCAAAAACAAACGTAACCACAAGCTTAAGTTTATAGCTATACGTAGACTGTTTTTATTTAAACATGTGTGCCTTTCGAAACTAAATTATTCACGAGATTAAAATTGATTGTAAGTGAGTCAGTGGCGGAACCACATGGGAGCAAATGACTACAATTGCAGGTAGTCCCTTTTCTATATATATATATATATATATATATATATATATATATATATATATATATATATATATATATATATATATATATATATAT